GGTGAAGTCAGGCAGTAGATGTTATGACCGCCAGTGTTCTTGAAGGACGATAGGGGTAAGATGTCATGGTTGACGTTTAAGGATCAGTAGTGCGTAAGACCGTCACGGTTTGTCAAACATTCATTCGAGGAGGCATACTGCGTATGAGTCTCCCAATGACCATTTGAGGGAGTCGCACTCCTCTTGCAGCACCTGATCACGTTCAGTCAACGTGGTCGGCGGGCTGTGACGTTGACGCACACGACTCCCTATCATGTCCCAGACGTGATCAACGAGGGAAGGGTCTGGGCTCATTGCTGGCCATGGCATTCTACAGTTCTTTGGATCTTGTGTTGCTGGAGGTGAGCACCGACTCTTCGTGCACGGTGAGCGCGGGAGTAGTCCTGAAAGACAAAACGTCGACCAACGCGCCTTGCAAACGGGACGACAAAGTGTGTCAGTTGATTGTCCTGATAGTATTATCCGATGCCCATTCCTTGCACAATATAGAGTGGGCTTCTCCGTCATAGTGATGCCACCCCACACCATAACCGATACACCGCCCAATCTGTCTGCTTGGGTCAGGTCTCAGGTTGACATTGGCTTGACGTTCATGTCGACGTCGCCGGACACGACCACGCCTATCAAGGAAGTGCAAACTGAATCGGGACTAGTCTGAAAACATGACACGTGACCAGCAACCAGCGTCTGTTGGCAACGTGACGATTTTTAAGGGTGGCACGACACGTAACCATCGAGCAGGGAGACGAGCTCCATGGAGACGATTTTTAATCGTCTGACCCGTAACTCGTACCCCAGTAGCTTGATGAACGTTTGCAGCAATTTGATTCGCCGTTTGAGCTTAAGCTCAACTGAAGTATGCGTTTTGTTGCTACATTTTACAGACATAAACGTCCTCGCTTGTCGTCAACACTTATCTTTGTTCTAATACTTGGTATTAACATTGAAATTTTATGACCCCCTACATTTTTTGAGAGTATTTATCATATTATGCTATGTCTTTAAGTAAATTAAACTCTAACAAAACGAACCCGTGTTGACGCAAGGAAATCGGTATCCTTACAATTAATCAGTCGCTCAACTTTTCGCGAACACCTGGTATCATTACTTTTTGACATGCTCATGACTCGGACTCGTACAACAGACTGCTTTAAGCAGGGATTTCTTATGAATTTGGAAACGGTTTTGCCGATCTTTTTAGACCAACTGCACATGGTATCCTTTTGAGAAACATCTGCATAACTTGATGGCTGCACTGCGTGTCAGTTTAATTAGTTTTTGCTTAAAAAAGAAAAGTATATGCTGATTTAAGAGGGGTAAAATTGAAAAGGTAAGTAAAAAGCTACTTATAGGATTATTTATACATTCATGCAAGCGTTTTCATGCATCAATCTATGGCTTAAGGGACCCCGACTGCCATAAAACTCTCCTATCCAGGCACAACCGATGCATACAGTTATTGGTTATGGATGCAAGTGATAAATGTTGGCTGCATGGCTAGACATCCTGATGCAGATAAGGAGTTTCTTTACGATGCCTCGTCACCGTGATGACACGTGGCTTTTGATCACGCTGTGGCCACGTCGCATGCCGTGGTATCAGTCTGAGGTTTACAAAAATGTTTGAAACTTTTTAAGTATCTTGGGTAGATCTTTTATAAATCATTTTTTTCGATACTTCTGTTTTTGTTACAGTAGATAAGCTATATTTTTATACGAATGTTAAACGTAGTAGATACTCCTATACCGACACGTATATAATTTATGTCCATTTACCAGCAAAATCTGGAATGATATTTGACATAAAACGAAAAGTGTTGTATACAGCTGTCAGTCAGCTATTGTACATATCCTATATTGTAAATGTGCAAACACGTTTTAGAACAGTCTCCTTCAAATCCGCATGGAGCGTCCCATGCATGCGTTTTATTATGTAACATTGTTGTGAAGTATTTGGGTGAGTCTGTAACAAAGTGTCTTTCCGCATATTTGACGTTCATGTTTGATATGGTGGATAATCCGATTTCGACACGCATGTTTGATATGGTAGATAATCCTGTTTCGACACGCATGTTTGATATGGTAGAAAATCGTATTTCGACACGCATGTTTGAAATGGTAGATAATCGTGTTTCGACACGCATGTTTGATATGGTAGATAATCCTGTTTCGACACGCATGTTTGATATGGTAGATAATCGTATTTCGACACGCATGTTTGATATGGTAGATAATCCTGTTTCGACACTCATGTTTGATATGGTAGATAATCCTGTTTCGACACGCATGTTTGATATGGTAGATAATCCTGTTTCGACACGCATGTTTGATATGGTAGATAATCCTGTTTCGACACGCATGTTTGATATGGTAGATAATCCTATTTCGACACGCATGTTTGATATGGTAGATAATCCTGTTTCGACACGCATGTTTGATATGGTAGATAATCCTGTTTCGACACGCTTGTTTGATATGGTAGATAATCCTGTTTCGACACGCATGTTTGATATGGTAGATAATCGTATTTCGACACGCATGTTTGATATGGTAGATAATCCTATTTCGACACGCATGTTTCATATGGTAGATAATCCTGTTTCGACACGCATGTTTGATATGGTAGATAATCCTGTTTCGACACGCATGTTTGATATGGTAGATAATCCGATTTCGACACGCATGTTTGATATGGTAGATAATCCTATTTCGATACGCATGTTTGATATGGTAGATAATCCTATTTTGATACGCATGTTTGATATGGTAGTTAATCCTATTTCGACACGCATGTTTAATATGGTAGACAATCGTATGTCGACACGCATGTTTGATATGGTAGATAATCCTATTTCGATACGCATGTTTAATATGGTAGATAATCTTATTTCGACACGCATGTTTGATATGGTAGATAATCCTATTTCGACACGCACGTTAATATGGTAGACAATCGTATTTTGACGCGCATGTTTGATATGGTACATAATCCTATTTCGATACGCATGTATGATATGGTAGATAATCTTATTTCGACACGCACGTTTAATATGGTAGATAATCCTATTTCGATACGCATGTTTGATATGGTAGATAATCCTATTTTGATACGCATGTTTGATATGGTAGTTAATCCTATTTCGACACGCACGTTTAATATGGTAGACAATCGTATGTCGACACGCATGTTTGATATGGTAGATAATCCTATTTCGATACGCATGTTTAATATGGTAGATAATCTTATTTCGACACGCATGTTTGATATGGTAGATAATCCTATTTCGACACGCACGTTAATATGGTAGACAATCGTATTTTGACGCGCATGTTTGATATGGTACATAATCCTATTTCGATACGCATGTATGATATGGTAGATAATCCTATTTCGACACGCACGTTTAATATGGTAGACAATCGTATTTTGACATGCATGTTTGATATGATAGATAATCCTATTTCGACACGCACGTTTATATGGTAGACAATCGTATTTCGACACGCATGTTTGATATGGTAGATAATCCTATTTCGATACGCATATTTGACAATCTTGTTTGATATGGTAGACAATCGTATTTCGACACGCATGTTTGATATGGTAGATAATCCTATTTCGATACGCATATTTGACAATCTTGTTTGATATGGTAGATAATCCTGTTTCGACACGCATGTTTGATATGGTAGATGATCGTATTTCGATAAGCATATTCGACAATCTTGTTTGATATGGTAGGTAATCCCATGTCGACACGCATGTTTAATGTTTAATACAGTTTAAAATCCATTTGTGACACACATATATGACGCTGTAAATAATCGAAGCTTGACCAAACAAATCACTGATTAATATTCTGTACAACGTCCCACACCGTCAGAGTTCAACCACGCCCAAACTCAACCAAGTCACTAAAACTGACCACCCGATCCACTGAGTGGCTAAGCACACAAGTATTGGTTACTGGGGACCAGTCATTATCCAGATTCCCACAGATATTCCGTGTAATAACCACTAAAACATATAGTAGGAGGTCGCTGGTATCATATGACGAATCATCATAAATACTGCCTATACTATGGGTGTACTATAGCTCTGGGGCTGGAATTCCGGTTCCAGCTGTGCGGGTCTATAGATTATTTCCCATATTGCCTAACGCTCTCAATGAAATTGTCTTCGAGTACCGGGTACCATGTTTTGTGACGCTATCTGTGGCTCATCTCCTTTTAACTACGGATATCTCGATCTACACGTACATTCAACTCGGATGTACTGAAGTACCTGAACACATCGCGATCGAGATGTGTGTAATGCAGTGGAAAATATGTGATAGTCTTAAAAAATAGCGAATTTCAGAGATGTAACTTTATCAGACCGTAGTGAAGTTAACTGTATCTATACCGCACGGCTATACTTCGAGGTAGATTCTAGGTTTATTTTTTATTTCGAATATCACGCCTTACGTTTTAGCATCCTTGAAAATTAGACAGAATGGTTCTATATGTCTCGTGGCCGATAGTATAATATGTGTTGGAGTTTATGCGCAAATGCGTTACGCGGACACACTTGTTTGATAGTACAGTGAATGAAGAACACAAATACAACGTTCATTCGGGCACATGTTGTTTAAGGCACAATGCTTTCATCAACTTACTATCGCTTGTGGATAGAAAGTTGTGATTTTTCATTTGAGAAACGTAGTACCGTCTTTAAGTATCTGTTTTATGTGCAAACCCCCCAAAACAGAATATATATTATTTATCCTTATATCCGTAATTGCATTTATTACTTATTTATACCACATGATCAACGCTGTCATGATATCGAATTTATATTAATACTATTCGATATTAAACATAATTAAATACAAATACAAACATACATACATCTTTATACTGGTAAATGTCTTTAAACTATGGAATCACTTGTCAAAGTATAACATATGTTTGAAAGCAAACACCTGCGACATCTATGTTACTTTAAAATATAATATTTACCTTCAAACTGTCCACAATCACAATGTCCACCTGTCTTTTCCCCAGTATTTAATCCATGGCGGGGTCCTTTTCACTCACACACCTGTAATCAGTCGTGAAGAAGGTAGTGTCGTATGTTCCACCGTCGCACAACTGTCAGCCGCTCTCTGTAACATGAGACGGTGGTTTGAGACGCAACTCTATCTAACCCAGTTATATTTAACGGCATTCGCTTGGCTGCTACGCATGAGCGATTCAGCCTTCCGTTAACAGCACCACCACACCGCGTACCGGTCTTTGATGACAGAAGGATATCATTTAACTCCACCTGATAAAATCTATCAACAAGCGACTGATAAATTGAAACCACTTGTGTGAAGGATAACATCACTTCAGCTATCAGTTTCCCGAAGTCGTTCTTCTAGCCGAATGGCATTGAAGACATTCTTTGCATCTAGTTTTTCTTGCATGTTTGCGGATAGTTTAAACTAACTGATGCTATACCAGTTGAGTAAGTGGATATGGGTCATACATCATACATATATATCATATCGTTAAATAGTCTGTTGGTCTTGAAGCGCAGTGTAACAGAAACAAGCTCATGACTGCCTCAATTATGGCTAACAAAATATTTGGATACCTGGCAATAGTGTTATTCGCTCTTACGGATAGCAAATTTATACAAGCGGGAAAGTCTAGGATTTTGATGTATTTTCATCTTTCCGTTTATCATAATAAGAGATGGGGTGGTTAAGTGGTTAGTCCGCGAATATCGATTCGCGTCGTGAGTTGAGTTTACCTTGACGTCAGCAATATCACACACGGGGGACACCGGAAATTGGCTTCACGCATCGTTCCAGTGTCGGGAATCGAACCCACGACGTAACGAGCTAGAGTTACCATCCCCCAACCCCACCCTCACCCGCACCCCTACCCCCACCCCGACCATCGTTGGAGTACGGTCGGAATACGAGTATCATCCAGATCTAGACTAACATAAATCGCGGAAATTTATAAAGTTATTTTATTTAAAACATATATCTACAAAATACAACAAAACAAATTATCCAAATATGACGCAAGAACAGTCCAATAGTTGACGCGGCGGGCATCGTCACCAGAAAGTGAACTTCGTTCGTGTACAAGCGTACATACTGGTGTACCCGTAAATTATTGTTTTGGGGTCAAGGTTTTTCATTTATTAAATTCACTTTACAAATAATATGTATAAGAACAAATCTATGTTTGCAAAGTAAAGGAGTTGGGTGGTGGCGCTTTCGGCAGTGTGACGCATGATGTATTCTTCCTCTGTTTGTCTGGGAAACCTCGCCCTACCCCTCCCCTTCTTTTATGGCCCAGTGAGAGAGTATATTCTTTTGCAGGGCGTATCCGCGCATAATTGTCTGGATGAAGAGTTTACTGTGATTGTCATTTGAAGAGGTTGGTTCAGAACTGTACTAAACAGTATAAGCCTACGCAAATAGTGCAAACGTTTCTTTTATTCGTGTGTAAAACACTGTGCAAATAGACGCGTGTGGAAGTGGCTTCCCGTGGTACCCTGGACACAGCAGCGTTCGGTACGACTTGTATCAACGAAGATACGAATGTTGAAACGTTTTATTCGTGAAATAGTTTGTTGTCATTCAACTCTCAACTTCAGGAATGCTACCCAAAAATATTATTTTTGTTAGTGCTAGTGCATTGTGGGAAAATAGTACTGAACGTGAAAGCGGGCATCGTGTGAACCTCAGGCAAAACATATGTTACTTTCTTAAGTATTTCTGTGATTAGAGTGAGTGAGTGAGTTAAAATTTACGTCAAATCTGCATTATTTTAGATGGAATGTTTGAATGGAATTACATTTTGTGTCATAAAATATTTGTGTGTGATATTCGAAAATGTATGTATGGGTGCGCCATAGCACGAAAGCTATATTTCCCTCCAAAATATTAAATACCCATGCGCCGATTTCGTGACTTCGAATTCCAAATTCTACCTTAATATGGCCCATTGCATTCTTCTCCTATCGTGCTCGTGTGTTTCACAGTGGTAAACACTGAAGACTTGATTATGACCCCTGGTTTCAGCAAAGGAATGCGTCACCTTACAACTGTATTGTCTCCATAAGCTCACATGACCGAACTAGTGTTCAAAGCGGCGTTAAACGTGTTTCACTCACAACGCTGTTTTTGGTCATCTCAGAAGAAAGCGGTAATCGTTGTAACAGGCTTCCATACATTTGAACAGGAAATCGAAAGCTAGTTAAACACAAGGGTTTCACCTGGATTAAAAAGTCTTCACCCTCAAGTAAACTACATGTTCATTTAGGAGACATGTTTATGAGTGGTCGGTGTGGTTGAGTGACAGGCTATGTAGCTCACCTGCACAGGAAAGATTTGTTGCACATTTATATTCACTGTGTAACGCAATACGTCTCTGCGACTCTATCACTAACGTACTCGTGTCTTTTGGTTAAGAGGTGGAAGTCGATGACTACACATCGGCTCCCAGCCTGGGTCCAATGGGAGAAGCCCTTTTATGGAGTTCGCAGTGATATTACTGGAATAATGATGAAAAGAGGCGTAAAAGCCTTCTGTTCCACGTGACACTGAATCCGTTCTTTCATTGCTCTCAAGAGTGAGTGAGTGAGTATGGTTTTACGCCGCTTTTAGCAATATTCCAGCAATGTCACGGCGGGGGACACCAGAAATGGGCTTCACACATTGTACCCATGTCGGGAATCGAACCCGGGTCTTCGGCGTGACGAGCGAACGCTTTAACCACTAGGCTACCCGACCGCCCCTTGCTCTCAAGACTGTTTGTTTGTCAACAATATTCCAGCTATATGACGGCAGTTTGTAAATAATCGGTTATGGACCCATCAATCCGGTGATTGATATCCTGAGCATCGATCCACGCAATTTGGGATCAATGACATGCATCAACCAAGTCGCCCTGTCCACCCGATCCCGTTAGTCGCCTCTTACGATAAGCATAGTCGCAAGCATGGATTACTGAAAACCTATTCTACCCCGGATCTTGATGTGTATCTCGAGACTGAGTCATGTGACTAATACATATGACATGTTAGCATATCATAATTGGCCAAATTCGGTCATGTTGAACGTGTATTGTGTGGCTTCGGCCTTTGTTATATGTCGATCGAAGAAGTCGGTGATTATGCTTTGTTAATATCGGCCTTTCGGCAACGAATCATTGATTGTGCAACACAGGATTGGGTAGTCCTGCACCATGACTGTGGAATATATTTATTTTATGAAAAAAAAAATCTAGAAATCCATACAAAAGCAAGTCTAAAGCAAGTTTAGCCAGCTCAAGCTAGCTCTATTCCACAGTGAAATCAGCAAATGGATTTTTTTTTATTTTTAGAGTCAAGAAGGATATTGTGTAATATAAGATTTCAGAGACTAAATGTCAGTCCAAGGATTGGGAAGCCATGCCACATACTACATCAACCATGTATAGTACCTACAAGTCACTTTGAGATTGTGAATATTATTTACTTCAGGAAGAATCATATGCTTACAGAGTGAGTGAGTGAGTGAGTGAGTGAGTGAGTGAGTGAGTGAGTGAGTGAGTATGGTTTTAGCAATACATGTATTTCAGCAATTTCACGGCGGGGGACACCAGAAATGGCCTCACACATTGTACCCATGTAGGGAATCGAACCAGGATCATCGGCGTGACGCTTTAAACACCAGGCTATCCCACCGCCCCTATGCTTACAAAAAAATTATCACTGAAGTTAGAAGTGGACGTAATACGTTAGTTATACAGACGGTGCGTAGTGGTATTAGTGAGATCATTGATGAAGATGCTTTAGGTAAAGATGTAAGGTGCCTGAGGGTGCCTCCCACATCGTGTTTATCTGTTTCATATTATCACAAAAGGGACCAATTACTAAAGCGTATAATCAAAAAACATTCAGTATTCGATTTTTAAAAATTGCCATTTTTCATAGAAATATTCAGTTAATTTCTTCCAAGCCCAAACGCTGCTGAGGTTAACACACTGTTAAGTACTGGGAAACTAACACACTCGAGCGGTGGGTTCGATACTAAGTTGAACGCTGCACATGTGAAGTATTAAGTTCAGTGGGGTGATTTACTAGGCCTGTCCGCCCTTGCGATATCAAGCAGAGGCATTACTCAAGTTTATGTTTCATGTATGATGTAAAGAATTTTACTCACCAAAGATATTGTTTTTATTAACGAAGGAAACAGTTGCACGATTTATTTGGAACATTTCAAGTTTGGTTCACGTTGATGACATACTTCTATTTTTCCCGAAATAGCAATAGGCGTCTTTATGGGGAGATTGCCATCTCCATATGTAGAAATTCCGTGTCTGTGACCGGAGAAAAGTTTAAAAAAGGACGTCATGGGGAAACGAAAGCTGAAACAATTAAAAACATCTTCTGAATTTGATTTAAAACCTAATTTTCAACGATGCTTCGCATTCATGTCTGTTTTTGCCATCTGATTGTTAGAATCATTCAGTCACGAACACACACGATGGTGCGGATCAGGAAGAAAAAAATGACCCACATTGTTTTTTTAAAAGTAGGGCATTAGAGCAGGAATACTGTTGACGGTGACAAAGTACGCGGTCACCGAGTTTCTCATCTCACCGTGAAAACACCATTGTTTTATGTGTAGACTGACACTTACCGAAGGGAGTGGGTTTTTAAAAATGAATGAAGCCTTTATGAAAATGTGTTGATATTGTTCAGCTGGACATGGACACGAGACACAGTGTTGTAGCGATGTCTCCCATATGTGCATGACGCGATGGTAACCAGAGGAAGTGCATTTGGTTTTGACGCAGCTATTAGTGAGTGAGTGAGGTTGTTTAACGCCGCTTTGAACAGTACTTGGTTTATATCACGGCTTGACAGCTTGATGTGGAATGAAGCACGTTTTGGACATTTACGAGCATGGTGCTGACAGCCCCACACATAATAAGAGCATGGTAATAAGAGAAGTTTCTGGCTTGCCTATGGGACAAAACTCGAGTTACAGCACCCACAGGGCCACGGATAGCCATACTATACTGACTGTACAGATTACATTAAAAACATTTTTTTAATGTAATCAGTACAGTCAGTATAGTATGGCTATCCGTGGCCCTGTGACAGCACCTGGGG